CCTACCATATACTTTGATCTGAAAGTCTTTACAGTTGTGCCATCTGCCTCGTCATAGTTCATTTGTACTCAAGCAAAAGGAACAGCCAGGCAATACAAATCTGACAAAATTGATCAAGACCAGAAACATCTCAGTGCTCTCAGTAAAATTAATCTATAAACAATAGAAATTTGGTGCAATTAATTTAATCGTTCCATTTCCAAAGTTTTTTCTATGAAGTCTGTATGTTAATCTGTTGGAATGGAAATTTTGTTTATAAAGGGGTACTTGTACACTAAAGTGTAAGAATCGTCCATAAATCGCAAACGACACTCGAACGGATCTATTCTGCACATTCAGATTTTGTTTTCACAGAATCAAAAATCTCACATACATTTTATAAGGCTAACACGTATGCAACGATGTAAATGAAAAGCCAGGCACAGGCATTAAGTATTTCTATTTGCCTATTCAGAAGTGATATATTTGGAAGATGAGGTGGTAAAAAGGCTTCTTACACCATCATCTCTCCTGCTTCGTGTATAAGAGGAACAGCTAAAGGTGAGGGATCTGGTGGAGACTCCGTGCTGATGACTAGCCAGGGTGTGGGCGTCTTGTGGGTTTTGGAAATCGCTGTAACCTACAGCAATCTCCCAACCGCTCTGCATTTTCTGGAGACAACCCTGTTAACGTCCATGCCTTCAGCATCAAAACAGCGCAGAGGTGGTGCCCGCCATCTCCGCTCAGCATTTCTTACCTCATCCTGGAGGCAGCCCAGGGGGTTTTCTCCAAGCAAGGAAGAAAGTGTCCCCTGTAATTCTTCAGTTTTACCAAATAACCAGTGGCTCCCTGCAAGTTGAGAATAATACCTGACTCTGAGGTTAGCTCACCGAAGACCAGAATATCTTGCTTGGAAAGTAACCCTTAGCAAGCGTAGCTCCTTCTGCCCTTATCACACTCGGGATTGTGCCCAACTTAACACATGTGCTTCTGATGCCTTTGATTTCCATAGGAAGCCTTGGCCTGGAGTTAGACATCCCCTTATGTGCATTTCCAGATAAGAATGACTTTGAAGCCTAAGAGCCGAGATGCACACACACCAAGAACTCCAACACTTAATTATCTTTGAAGAATCCTTAAAAAAATAGTAGCCTTGAAAATGCCTTGCAGCTACTATACAGTCACACAGCCTTCCACTGGCAAATGCACAGATTTCTCACATCGTTTAATGACTCCCGCCCACCCTGGAAAAAATGCACTCTCATGATGTGCAACTACGCTCAACTGAGATACATAATAAAATAACCAAACATAGTAACTTGCTTTTCTTTGTTCTTGAATGTGGAGCTTTACATGTCAGTTTTACTCTAGAAGGAGCTATGTGCCCTGTGGGCCTTTGAAAACAGATTTTATTCACTAACTGAGAAGTTTCTACCCAAGTGCAATGTTTATACATCTTAATAAACAACTGTGCAAAAAAACCCCCACCCCAAAACAAGTATGGCATACCTCCATGCAACTTCATGTACTAATGTATAGAGGTTGTCTGTAGTTAAATGTCATCACCACTAATTAACACTAATTATCCTATTAACACATGAAGAATAAACTTGCACATCAAATGCAAAGTAGGATATTGGGGACTACTTAAAGACATCATGCTACAGATTGGGTGACTTTATTATCTTCATTCTCATGGCATGTGTAGGCTTCGTGTTAAGAAACGTGGGCGCCGAATTGTGTGGTATATATTTCTGAGTTTCATTAAAGGTATAATTGTGTAGACTGCTATTGTTTGGGGCATTCAAATAACTCCAGCTAAAGTGTAGGAGTAGAGGAAGGGTAAACAGAGGAGTTGGATGGTTCAGTGTCTGAGACAGGGCGCATCACCTCTGGGCTGTTTCTGTGACCCTGGGCCAGTATAGACTGAGGAGCACGGCTAGCTGGCACAGGTAGTCAGTCAGCTCAATGGTCTCATTGCATCCCCTTGTGGTTGGGTGGCTACAAGAGCTGAGGATTGTCCATCCCCACGAGAACGAGGGGTCGGGTAGAAACTAAGCAGCTTTTCTGCACTAAGAGGTGACCAGACTGGATCTGGAGTACTCAGGAGGTGAAACAATTAACTTCTTCACAGTGTCAACCTGTGCATTTCCTAGAAACGTGCCTGTTGCTCACAGTCCCTGCTGAAGTGATTCTCCAACCCGTGATACCCTAGAATTCCTCCCAGCGCATTATGCAGCCCACCATCAAGACAGCGTAGAGGCCTATGAGTAAGTGTGGAGGAGGAATGTTTCTTACTACACTTTATCCCCGTATTTCCAAACACAGCACGGATGGAGCTGCTCCTGTTCACGCAGACTATTATTCAGAGTGGCTTTGTGTTGTCTGCGAAGAATGATCCTACCTTTAACACATCAGCAAGCAAATCTCTCCCAGTGAATGCGTGGGATTTGAAACAACAGAAATGTAACAATTTACACCGATTTTCATGAGCACTAATTTCACTTTAAATAGGAAAAAAAAAGGTCTTTGGAATCCACCCAACAGCAATTGGGATGGGGTTAATAACTTGTCTTTCTGGAAGGGAACACAGAAGTTGAAGCTTGTTACATATTTCCAGTGCAATTTGTAACTTGAATCTAACAATAAAGGTATGGCAGATACAGACTAATAATAATTTAAAAAAAAAAAAAAGCAAATATGAATCTTGAGCTGCATAATCTGCAAAACCCTTGTGATGTTTCCTAAGGGGAGACTGTTGCCTTGTGGGGGTAGAACTGATCCACTATTTTCAAAAGAATCACTTTAAAGTCTATAAAAATATCTTGCAACAAGCGTTTTTCATCAGTCAGTAACATATTCACAAAAAAAGATATTTAATTAAAATTTCTCGCAAGCAATGACTGAAATTATTATTTATACTGATCTTTTAAAAACGAATGAACAAGTAACCTTCATAATCTGTTGTCTTTCCCGAAAGAGGTTAAGTCCCACTAACATTAACGAGAGTTACATCTACAGAGTGAGAGAGCGAGGGAGCAGGTCCCTTGAGGCAGCTCCTCAGGCCCTGTGAGTTAGTGTAGCTCCCCGAAATGCATTGAAGGGAGAGGTGGCGATTTACACCAACAAATAATTTACCCCTTTCATGTTTATTTTCACCCTGGCCTGCCACAAGATCTAATCTTATCTGTCAGCAATAGAGAATCTCCATAGCTCATGTCCAACTCTTGCTAGCAGTTCGTTTTCTCATCTGAACAGGGCATAAAATGAACTGCAAATGTCAGCTCATTGATTCCTGCTCTTACTCCGCCCCCCCACACACACACACATTGCAGCACTTTCGTGTTTCAGGTGTCCAGTTTAATCCAATTCACCTTTGAATGTTGTATATGCAACTCTTCCTGGAGATTATTTTCATTATTCATCATAATGTATCTTCTTAACTCTTTTTACTTAGTCATCTCTTTGAGAATAAAAGGTGTGCAGTCAGCTCAGTAATCAGAGGGAATCATAAATCAAATCCATACAAGAGATACAGTCAGATGAACAGAATAGCTGCAAAACTACAGCAATAATGTGGTCAGGTTTGCAATTTTGCACTTAAAAATCCCATTTTGAGGACCATAACCGGACTTTAGGAACGTCACAATAATGTATCAGAAGAGTTTGCCTTCTATCAAATGCAATTACTTCTGTAACTTATGTTGGTCCGCCTAGCCTGGCTATAAACCAACGTCTCCTTTTTAAAATACCCTTACTTCTGATATTTTTCTTGTGATATTTAAAATTAATAAAACCTGTTGACTACGAGCAGACTGTACAGAGCAGTATGTTTTACTAGTGCTCAAGCCGCATGAAAACACGCTCGCCCGGACCTGCTGAGAAACTGCCCGCCGCCCTTCCCTTCCCTTCCCAGGGGACGTGGCTTCGCAGGGGCTACCTGGGCCGCAGGGGGATTTTCAGGTTTCTTTCCTCCGCGTTCGCAGTCCCAGACAACGAGTTCACCCGCAGCAAAGCCAGCAGCTAATCCAGGAGTCCCTGCCGAGCCGTGACTCCGCTTGGCT